GGGCTGGCCCAGCATCACCCCTCACCCACCGCAGGCGAGGACCGTGATACTGGACTTCCAGCCCGCATCTCTCCCAGGCTGCACTCCGGACCACCTGTCTTCTCTCTGAGAACTCACTATGACTAAGTCTGACCTCCATCAAATTAGCTCGCTTCCTAATTTCTAGACTTTTTAGAGGCGGTACTAAGCAGTGAAACGAGTTGGAATGAGGGGAACGTGGCTTTGAATCCAAACTCTTAGCTTCCTGTTTGATTTACCCTTTCTAGGGCTCGGTTTCCTTCTCTTTAAGATGGCATCACAACGATTCCTAGGGTGTAGGAGATGACATTTCCAAGTCGCCGAGCCCAGCGCATGGGGCAACACAGGTGCCAAATAACCGTGTGTCCCCTCCCTTTCTCCTCTCTGTAGATGACACTGCCAATGTCTACAGTACCCAGCTGGACACGTTGATATCAGTTTTCCTCCTTCCTTCTTGCTTACTTTTAATTAAAACCAACCATCAAGTTATGGGATGTTAGATCTGGCAAGGATTTTAGAAATTATAGTCATCTGATTCATTGATAACACATAGAGGTATGAGTCACCAATTATTGTAGCAATTTGACTCCCACGTCAATTCAATGACAATCGTTATTTGGTGATGGAATTTGTTGCATGACACTTGATAATCATATTGAACAAAAAAGAGTCAACCAAGTACAGTTAAATCGGTGATGATGTACAAACACAGCGTCAGGCTCTCAAGCTCTGTTTTCTTAAATGCTGTCCAGCGGCTCTTTCTGACCTAGAAAAGTTTTTTTGGTACGCTTTTCCCTGTCCCTAGTATGTCCTTTCTCTCTTTACCATTCACTAAGTGGGGAGAGGCATTTGTTTCAGAGATAATTAGAGAAGAAAAGAATCATAGAAGCCAAACGAAGGGGAAATAATAAGGTAATCCCAAAGGAAACAGTATCAATTTTTAAAACTTATGAATTCACTAGTTAATACATTACAATCTTACACATAACTTGGAACTATTCGTTATACATTATATTCTATGTGCTGGTTCATTTGTGTTCTGCTAACTGGTTTTAGAAGAAAATCTCCAGGGAATCACGCTCGTAAGCAAAATAAGAATTAGATATGCCTCTATATGTGTTCTTTATAACACAACGACTCTTCCTTTCCTATCCTATGTAAATACCCTTGCTCAACCCAAAACTCATATTTCATACCATTTACCTTCTTCTCCTTCCTATGTTCCACGTACAAGAGGAAAGTATTCATAGCTACCCATAGTTGTTTTATTCCTAGTTAATGCAAATTATCCGGTTCATATATTTTGGAGGTGGAGACCAAAAAAAAATGTAAACCATGTGATGTGTTAGAGTGTAAATAATCATTTTTATAAAAAGCTTCTGTTTCTTTAATCTCCCTAGCCACTGACTGTACATATCATCCAGCATTCTCTCAGCAATGAAACTAGAGCCAGAAACAAAAACAAGACCCTGGATCTGGTGAGATCCTTATTCCACTGAAAGGTACTATTTGTCGGGCAACACGGAAAGTTTCTGAAAGAGCTGACCTTCGAGCTTTTAACATTTTGCGCCCCAGGTTAGTGCACTGACTGGAATCCACGTGGGGCAAACAAGTGAGGAAAATGGCCCCCCACCATCGACGATTCTATTGGGTTACCTCTGAAAAGCGAAGACATACAGCTCACACGAGAGGAAGATGGCTGCAAGAACTCCAAAGCTATAAAGCTTCATCCCAGCAGCGATTTGCTGAACAACAAAATTCTCTGGAGAAATGGGCCCCGATGCCTGGTTACATAAGAGCCTTCTTTACACACTGGTTAAAATATAATGCCACAGTCCCTCTCATTCCTGCGATCAATTGACTTCGCTTCTATTTCCGCCCTCAAAAAATAAAGTATGATGAGAGTTCGACCAAATAGAAAATATTTAACTCCTCAGGGACGATGAGGCCAGGAGAAACAGTGTAGGAATGTTGCAGAAACATGTCTGGTTCGTTGAAGAGCCATAACCCTGGAGTCTTGACTAATGGCTCATAACCCGTGCTGAGGGAGGTCTCCAGTGGAGTACTAAAGGGATCTTCCCTTGTCTCTATCTTTGCAACATTTTCGACTTAGATGAAGACGTAGAAGGTGAGTTTCTGAAATTTGTGACTCTTACAAAGGTTGAGAAGGAGAACTTGTATGGAGGATTATAGGATCTCCATTTAAAGAGATGTTTCCTTGTTCATGTGAAGTGATGGGCCCACCTGTAAGACAATAGGAATATTATGTCCCAGAGAGTTCTTTGAGTCATAAAGAAAAATCAGGTTGCTTTGAATTCATATTTATTTAGGAAAGGCCACCAGAAGAGCCATTATCTAAATTGAAGCTATCACATGTCATTCTGAAGATAGTATCTTAGAACATTTTGTCTGGTTTAAGGCCACATCTTACCTCTGTAAGTGGACGAAGCCTAGGTATTCTCTCTAAATTCCCACTGGTCTATGCATTTCTTGAGGTCAGGGCAGGCAAATTTGCAAAATAAAACAACATTCCAACAGTAGACTTCTGAGAAGGAAAGGATGAAGATTTCAAACGTCTCTCTCTGAGAGGCAAAGCTATTAAAACTTATTTAATGGACTAAAAGTGATCTCCACTGAAACTGCCTTTTGTGTAAGAAAGAAGAAAAAAAA